CCTGCGGAAGTAGCTGTCCTGCAAAGGAACCCTCCCTTATTCCCCTGCCGGCTCTGCCCACTTCCTTTCTTGTTCTCAGGCTGGTAGGGCGCTGCGGTCCCTTCCGGTACAGGCCACCTCACCTCGGCATTCCATAATGTGCACTAGTCTTTGTTGCGACCAACCCTAGGTCGACCCACACTGGTGCCTGGATTTGCCAGTGGATGATGTGGACAGATTCAGCCTGGTCTTGCCCCCACGTCAGCCAATTGTTTGCCAGTGGGTAGCTTTCCATGGCCTTTTCTGGGCTGTTTCCTATCATGTTTCTTGCGTTTACCTGCCGGGTCTGTGTCCTGCCAGAGGAGTTGCCCAGGCTCCTCCATCAGAACCTCTCCCAATGCCAGGTTTCACGCTTACCAGTGGGTCCATGAGCCAACCTTACTCAGTCCACCTCCTGTAATAACAGGAACTGTGGCTTTTCCTGACTGGCCTTCCACCCAATCTGGTTCTTGCTGTTGGATGTTCCAGCCCAGCCATGGTTTGTCTATACCCACATATATTTTTATTGGAAAGTCAGATAAACAGAGAAGGAGAGACAAAAAGAGAGATCTGTCTGCTAGTTCACTCCTCAAGTGGCTATAGTGGCCAGACCTGAGCTGATCTGAAGCCAGGAGCCAGGAGCTTCTTTCAGGTCTCTCACACAGGTGCATGGTTCCAAGGCTTTGGGCATTAGTCAACTGCTTTCCCAGATCACAAGCAGGGTGCTGGATGGGAAGTGGAACCACTGGGACACAAACTGGTGCCCACATAGGATCCTAGCACATGGTGAATCAGTTCACGGCATTCACTGGCAAATTTAACCACCAGAACAGTGTGGGTCGAGCTGGGTTCGGTCGCGACAAAAGCCAGTGCACAATAAGGAAGGCCAAGGTGCGGGTGCCTGTACCAGATGTGACCGCAGCACCCAACCAGCATGTGTGAGAACCAGGAAGGGCGGGGGCAGAGCTGGCATGGGGAATAAGGGGGAGGGGGAACCCTTGCTGGACAGCTACTCCCACTGGAGAGCCTGAGCTGGGATTGGGGCAGACCAGACTAGGCAGGGCTATAGCTCCTGTGAGCCTCATGTGGACTAGATCAGGGAAAAGCCAGGCCAGGCTGATTATTCCTACTGGTGCAAACAAAATTAGAGTGGGTAAGGATTATTTGGGTTTAGCCACAGCATCAGCTGGCAGAAGCTGGCATTGGGGGCTAGTTCTGTCAAGTCAAACCACAGAACCACCTGGAGAGTGCATAATCCGGGAGTGGGAGAGGTCTAAAAGGGAAATAGTGGGCTCCTCCCTCTTGGGTTACCACTCTCAGTAGAGGGTGTGAAAACCAGGACAGGGCAGGGGTGCCTAGACAGAGAGGCACCCTACAACATCCGTGAGGGTTGGATTGTTGAGCTGGGTAGATAGAACTAAGTGTGTTGACATGTACGAGAGCTGAAGCAGATGTGGGACAGATTGGACTAGTCTGCTGCACATTCTGGCAAGCTCGGGAACCAGGGTAGGGGCGGGCCTGGTGGGGGTTATTGTGGGTTGCTCTGACTGGGCTGCAGCTCCCACTGGTTTATGTGAGGGCCAAGTATGTGCTGGGCAGAACCAGGCTGGACTGCAACACCCATTGGTTCACATGGAAGACAGCACTGGAAACAGAACCAACCCAGCAATTGCAACCACCAGCTGATTAGGGTGATGGACTGTGTATGTACTTGCAAGTACATACAAGAATCTGGTCTGGGTTCACCTCAGACAAAGTCTCTTTAGGGATTCCCCCCAATTGAACTGCCAGACTCAGAACCCTAACCGTGAAAAAACAGAAGACAGAACAAGTCAATCAACTACCCCAGCCACATGTTGGCAGTGAAATACTGGGCAAATGGAGACTCTATGATGGACTATGTCAATCAGAGGATTCTTCAGCGACTTCATCGTGCTTGGAGTGGTGAGATTGGCAGCAATTCATAACTGTTGAACTATCAAAACCACTTGAGCAAGACCCTCAGAGCATACCCCACATCTGGGACCTGGGGTGGGTGGGAGACTGGGTGGGGCTTTTCCCTTTACCTCCCCCTTTATCCCAGATATAGGGAAAAAAAACTATGTGGAAATAATAGTCTTACCCACTTTCCTGTAGCCCTTGAACCTTCTTATCCTAATTAACTATGTAAAGATTGTCAAAAATATAATAAAAAATGAAAAAAATATTTTCAGAAAGTAGAAAAAAAAAGGTTCCTAGCACATGGAAGGCAAGGACTTTAACCACTAGGCTATTGTGTTGGGCCCTGACTTTTTTTTTTTTTAAATCAGCTACTTTCAAAAGAATGTACTGCAGGAGGTAAAAATATACTAATGAAATTGTCCCTCTTGATTTTTTTCCCCGAAAGGAAGATCTTCCGTCCGTTGACCCACTCCCCAAGCTGCCGCAATAGCAAGAGCCGTGCTGATCCAAAGCCAGGACACCCCTCTTGGTATGGCACTTACCACAGCAGCAACATTAAACAAGTGACATCTGCCTGGAGTCTTCCTTATTTCCCCCAGAAATCTCCAGTGGTCCTTATTTTTCTATACCCCATTTCTCCAACTCAACAATTTTTTCCTAGTAGCTTCTTGCTGCTGCCGATCAAGGAACAGGTCAGGATACCCAGGCAGGAGTGCAGGCTATGGCACTGGAGTATGCCAGAGGTCAGCTGGAAGCTGCCATATTCTGGAAATTTGTCTATGACCTGAAGTGCACACCAGGAGGCAAGGGAATGCCAGCCTCCAATTTGCCTGGTCTACCAGGTGAGCTACTATACCCAGTCTGCTGACAGAACACTTTTGATACTTAACCTCCAACTTTTAGGGCAGTGAATGGCAAAGGGGTACTCTTCTGAATTATGCCAAGAACGTAGCAGGCATTGTGTTACCTTAATTTCTTCACTACATGTACCCTAATGTCCAGTTTTCAGCTTTTCTAAATAAGCAGGGAATGTGGAATGCAAATTTTCACTTTGGTCAAAGTTTTCTTGCTTAGCGTTTCTGGTCCCTAGTAAGCCAAGAGTGCTAACCTTTTGCCCTAAATGTCAACATGTACAAACTTTCTCCTTAAAAGTACTAATTGCTAGGGTCTGGTGCTGTGACATAGCCAGCTAAACTTCCGCCTGTTGTGCCAACATTCCATATGGGTACCAGTTCAAGTCCTGGTGGCTCCACTTCTAATCCAGCTCCCTGTTGACTGCCTGGGAAGGCAATGGAGGATGACCCAATTGCCAGGGCTGCTGCAGCCACTGGGCTCCAGCTCCAGCCATTGCGGCCCTTTAGGGTGTGAAGCAGTGGGTGAAAGATCTTACTCTGTGTCTCTCCTCTCTCTAGGACTCTGCCTTTCAAATTTTAAAAAATCTGGTTTTCTTTACAAAATTTCCTGTTTCCTATATGAATCATCATCTTAACAATTTCTAGCAACTAGAAATATTGGTGTTCTCTTGAAAAGTTTTATATACATACATATATATACACATATATGTATATATATACATGTATGAAATATAGAGCAACATAAAGAGAGAAAGTATCCATCCACAGATTCACTATTCAAATGCCTGCAGCAGGTGAGGCAGGGCCAGGCTCTCCCATGTGGCTGGCCATTGCTTACTGCCTCCTAGGGTGTACCTCCACAGGAAGCTGGATCATGAGCAGAATGGGAACTTGAACCCAGGCACTCCACTGGAGGCTGTGGGCACCCCATGCTCCGCCTCAGCTCCTGTGCCCCCACAGCTGTCCCAGGAGATTGACTTTCTAACATCAGGAATAGCTGGGGCAGTGGAGTGGTGACTGCTGCCTTCGTGCTTAGGCACACTCCTCTTCCACGTGCAGCTCAGTCTGTTGAAGTCTTATCATCATTTTAATGTCTAGGATATATGCAATTCTCTTAATTTGCTGAATTAGGCATTGCCAAAAATAACTCCTTATGAGACTGCTCAGGACTGTCACCTCCAATGAATGACCTTCTTTAGGTCCAGCGCTGTAAGAACTAAGAGCACTTTTTGCAGGACCCACAGCAGTGAGCGACTCCTGTGGGATTGTCTTCCAAGATTCACCTGCCGTGGATCCTAGCACAAGAGCGCTTGCAGTGGGTACACGGGAAACAGACTGAATATTTCAGCCGTAAGTCTGAAAAGCCAACGAGCACACGGAGATATCTCAGGGCACTCTGACAGAAACCCACACAGCAGCCAACGGGAGCAGTCAGAAACCTGGAGGCTGGCTAGGGGAAAAAGGCACGAGAGGTGCGATTGAAGCTGGACTGGATCATATCATTACGTTAAGACACGAACAGGGAGACGCCCAAATCAATTTGAGAAAAGACTTCTCAGAGAATTAAACTCAAAGGAAAAAGTCTCACAGTGGAACGGAACGAGATGACTGGCAGGCTTGCAGGACCTGTTTGAAAAGAGGGTGTGGCATGTACGCACACATCCGCACGCAGGTGCATTTGGGGTATTTAACTCGCTGTCCTGTTCCCAATACTGTCCACAGAAAGCCTGAGAAATGAAACACTGCTTGTCCTTTTCTAAGCAATAAAAGCTCTTGCCTTTTATCTCCGTCTGACAATTTTTGGTTGCAAGTTGAAAGGAACACATACAGGCTGAAAGTTCGCAATCTTTCTGCCTCCTGATTGGTAAGACCTGGTTCCTTCAGCTGTGTCTGCCACTGACTTGGACCAGCACTCTATCCTAATGTGAGATTTACCTAAGTGTAAAGGGGGTGATCGGAAGGAAATGATTAACACAAATTCAAAGACGAAGAAAAAGTTAGCTTGGGTCCTTTATCTTTGGTTCCGCTTTCTTTCCTGCCCTTTCCCTTTACCAAGATGGCAGCGTAGCTCTCGCCTCATTGGTCGGATTCTTCGCACGCGCGACTCTAGTCCCACCCACCAGTTTCCTACGCTGGCGTCCTAAAAAGCTGGGCAGTGAATAGATTGATGGGCGGGCGTGGGCGGGGCGCCGGATGTGACGTTCCCGGAAGCTTCGAGTATTACCCGCGAGTAAAGGTGGGGAAGGGTCCCGGGACTGGTAGGGCCGGGTGTGTAAGCGCAGCTGGAGCGCTGAGGGAGCGGCAGCCCGAGAGTCGGCCTTGCAGCCCTCTCATCCCCCGCGACAACTGCCGCGCAGTGCCCGACCCGCCAGGGCGCCCCCGCCTGCCGCCCCCCAACACCTTGGGTGTCTTTGCCCCCGAGGATGGCGACGTGGGCTCGGGTGTCTGGAGCCCTAGTCGGCCGCTTGCCCACTGCCGTGCACGCCTGCTCCCCTCAGTCCTTGGGGCGGCTTGCTGGCCTGGGCGGGGGCTGCTGGCGCCTCTGCTGCAGTGGAGCTTCCCAACCAGGCGGCCTGGGAAGGTTTTGGGTTTGCAGGAGGCTCTCTGGGCGGTGGAGTCCCTCTCCAGCCCCTGGCTGTCCCCACAGCGTGTGTGTTGTGAGGGCGATTCGGAGGGGAAGTGTGACCTGACTGGAGGCGAGCTAAAGATACCTATCTTTGAGTCAGGGTTGGAGTAAGAAGCAGACGTTGGCAAGACAAATGAAACAGAACTGCGAGGCTTCCCCTGGGAGGCTGGACTCCGGGAGGAAACCAAAGCGTCTGTTGTGGGGGATGGGAGGAAACTGAAGGAAGAGACATCCTGGGGCTGTTAGATTCTGCAATGAAATCATCCACGGCGTGTGTGTGACAGAGCATGAAGGTTAGGGAGGATGCTGAAGTGTAGCATACGGCATTTTGGAAACGCTGGAGCGATGATATCTGATTGGAATTTTAAATCTCCAACCACAATATTGAGAAAGATTGTGGAGTTACAGTTTGGTACCCAGGGAAGGAAAACTGACAGGACAAATTGCTTTGTTGTGTGCTGTTTTGTTATTCAAAATGTATTCACCTCTGGAAGGTGATTAATTGTCCTAGATGGACCTAAATTCCTCGCTGTGATAGTGATGAGTTGTTTGTAGACTAATTAGTGGTTTAATGGCGATGTAAGCTGCCACTCCCCAGACCATATTTGCTCACCTATGAAAAGTCCACCACAGAAAATGTCAGTTACTCTTTGGTTAAATTAAAATGATGAAACTTGAAGTCAGTTAATGAGCATGTTTAAAGTTCACTAAATGTACCTGGACATCACTGGGACAGATTGTGGTGGGAAGCCAGAAAGAGACCTAACCAAAGGCATGTGCTGTCATTCCTGCTCCTAACACTGCTATAGGTAGGGCCGCTAGTGACGGTAATTGAGGGTGGAACTAAACCCCTCAGGATCCACTACCATCACACTCCTGGTACTTTGTAATTACGGCACAGGGCTTATGAAGTCTGGTGTCTGTAAATTCTTGTTATCATTTGAGAGTCTCAGCCTTTTTGTAGGAAAGACCTTACTTGTCAGGTGCCGCAGCAGATTTTTCTTCTTTTTTGTGAGACCAGACTGCCGGGATCGTGGGGACTGTGGTGTTGATGCCATCTGTTTTGTTGCTTTTCCGTCTTAGATCGTGGTGGTCCCGATGCCTGACCATGGCGATGTGAGCCTCCCGCCCGAGGAGCGGGTGAGGGCTCTCTCCCAGCGTGGCAGTGCCGTCGTGGTGAATGAAGACTTCCCGCCCCGGCGCTACTTCCGCTCTGGAGTTGAGATGATCCGAATGGCATCCGTATACTCTAAGGAAGGCAACATTGAGGAAGCCTTTATCCTGTACAACAAATACATCACGTAAGACACCTGTGGTTTCCTTTTCTGATGCGTGCTGCCGCTTGTCCTGCCCTGCTCTTGTGCTCACTCTGCTCGTAGTTGCTAAACTAGAGATCTTCCCAACATTGTCGGTATTAATAATTTTGGCTGGCAGTTGCTACAGCTTGGCTGTCCTTGCCATTCAGTGACATGCATACTGAGGGTGTTGTTTTCATGATTCAGTAACTTGGTGAGGAAGAAACTGGGTTTTTTGGCCTGTGTCCACGAGGCTCAAGTGTTAGATGAGCTGCTGTTTCAACCGGACATGCTGTATACTGATGAATGTGTGTGTTGTCCTCCCTCTAGTAAAATAGCCAATCGTAGAATGATTGCTGCAGTCTAGCTTAGCCAAAGTTTCTTGCTTCTATTTTATAGCAAGTGGAATGATACAGGAAAGAGCTTTTCTTCTTAATCTTTGTCATAATCATGCACATCTTCAGATAATTATTGAGCACCCAATTTGTGTGGCTCATCAGAGTAAGACCTTTCTTTGAAGTTGCTGAATCATCTAAGGGTCAGCAGCATACATGGAAGACTACAGTACTGAAACAGGAATCGAAGTCCCAGTAACAATGAAATGATGCGTAAGGTAACAAGTGAATTATGTTAAAGGTCTTAGCTATCATTTCTAGTGTTGTTTCTTGTTAATCAGGAGTCATTTGTGTGGTTCTTACACTTGATAGGCTATTTCATCAGCACAGTTTCATTTGTTCTTAACAGCTTTGGAAGCATTGAGTAAGACTCTGTTCTCCACAGGTTTTGTGACTCCTAATTCAGGACTCATGCTACAACATAAGCTAATTCTGTTTTCCACTTAGTAATGTTCTTTGAATGGCATTTTGAGCTCATAGTTATGAGCCACAGTGACTAGTTTTTGATTGTTTTAAATTGCTTGATTAGCTAACATACATGTGGTACAGAAATTGGAAGGCACAAAAAGTGTAAAGTCACACACCACATGTTGGCATTTTGGTCAAAAACAGACTATATAAACAATGTTGGTCCTATAACCTTTTATTTTATTTTTATCGCAAAGTTAAATATAAAGAGAGGAGGAGAGACAGAGAGGAAGATCTTTCGTCTGATGATTCACTCCTCAAGTGACCACAACGACCATTGCTGTGCCAATCCTGAACCAGGAGCCAGGAACTTCCTCCAGGTCTCTTACGTGGGTACAAGGTCCCAAGACCTTGGGCCATCCTTGACTGCTTTCCCAGGCCACAAACAGGGAGCTGGATGGGAAGTGGAGCTGCTGGGATTAGAACCAGCACCCATATGGGATCCTGGTGCTTTCAAGGCGAGGACTTTAGCTTCTAGGCCTCGGCACTGGGCCCAATTTGTTTATTTTTATTGGAAAGGCAGATATATATAGAAAAGGACAGAAGAGGAAGATCTTCTGTCCAATGATTTACTTCCCAGATGGCCACAATGGCTGGAACTGCACTGAATCTGAAGCTAGGAGCCAGGAGCCAGGAGCCAATTCCAGGTCTCGCAACTGTTAGATGAGCTACTGCTTCAACCAAACATGTTGTATGCTGATGAATGTGTTTGCTGTCCTTCCTCTAGCAAGATAGCCAAACATAGAATGATTGCTGCAGTCTAGCTTAGCCAAAGTTCCTTGCCTCTACTTACTTTATAGCAAGTGGAATGGTACTTTATAGCAAGTGGAATGGTACAGGGTCCCAAGGCTTTGGGCTGTTGTTTACTGCTTTCCCAGGCCACAGGCAGGGAGTTGGATGGGAAGTGGGGTGCTGGGATTAGAAGCAGTGCCCATATGGGATCCTGGCATTTTCAAGGCAAGGACTTTAGCCACTAGGCCACCATGCTGGACCCATTTCATAAGATTCTAATAGGGCTGAAAAATTCCTATTGCTCAGTGACATCATTCCTGTCATTGACTCCTAGCACAATGCATTACTCAGATGTTTGTGGTGATGCTAATATAAATAAGCCTAGATTGCCAGTGTATGAAGGTATAGTACAAACAATTATGTTACATTTCATGTTTGTTTTTTATTATAATAAACGTTATCCTTTTATACTTACTGTACTTTATTAACCTTTGGTTTTATTTTTTTATATGAGAGGCTAAAAGAAACAGATTGCCAGAGGGAGCTCCCATTCACTGATTCATTCCCAGGATGTTTCTGACTGAAGCTGGGAGCCAGAAAACTCAGTCCACATCTCCCATAAGGGAAGCAGGAAGCCAGTCCCTGCATCTGTGACTGCTGGTTTCCAGAGTCTACACTCACAGGAAGCTGAAGTCAGGAACCAGAGGCAGGGATCAAATCCAGGTACTCTGATGTGAGATGTGTCCGGGTGAATCACTAGATTAGCCATCCTTACTGTTGAGAGCAGCCTGTCTTCACTTCAGCATGGTTGATGTTTTGCTCTGAGTGAGTCTTTGTGGTAGAGACTGTCCTGTGCAATACAAGATGTTGACAGCATCACTTGACTGCCACTAGCAGCTTCCTCCCTGAGCTTTGATGACTGAAAAATCTCCAGAAGTTACCTGGTGTTCTCTGAGGGGCAAAATTATTTCTGGTTGCGAACCAGGGCTCTAAAGAAAGACACATGGAAGAGTGGACTGCTTAGATCCACACTGTGATTTTAGAATGTGGAAAAGACTATTTTGATTTTTATTAAATTGTGATGATGCCAAAGTTGGCTTCAGTCGGTTTGCATGCTGTGTTCTGGTGGTAATTTTTTTTTAAAGCTTTATTTATTTTTATTGGAAAGTCAGATATACTGAGAGCAGGACAGAGAGAAAGATCTTCCATCCAATGATTCACTCCCCAAGTGGCCGCAATAATCTGAGCTGAGCTGATCCAAAGGTAGGAGCCAGGAGTTTCTTCCAGATCTCCCGCGTGAGTGCAGGGTCCCATGGCTTTGGATCTCCTTGACTGCTTTCCTAGGCTACAAGTAAGGAGGTGGATGGGAAATGGGGTCACTGGGATACAAAGAGGTGCCTATATGGGATTCCAAGCATGCAAGACAAGGACTTAAGCTGCTAGACTACTGTGCCAGGCCCAAAAGATTTATTTATTTAAAAGGCATAGTAAAAGAGAGGGACAGCTGAAGAGGGAGAGAAAGAGAGATTGATTTTTCATCCATTGGTTCACTACTCAAGTACAACAGCCTGTAACAGCTAGGGCTGGATAAAGGTCAAAGCCAGGAGCCAGAAATTCCTTCCTGGTTTAACACGTGAGTGGCAAGGGTCTGAGCACTTGGGTCATTTTCTTCGGCCTTTTATGCACATCAGCCAAAAGTTGAAGCAGAAGCAGAGAAGCTAGAACATGAACCAGCACTCCAACATAGGATGCCAGTATTGCAAGCTGTGGCTTATCTTCTGTGTCATTATGCTAGCCCCTTCTTTTTTTATTTCTATTTTTTAGAAGAATTTTTTTTTTTATTGCAAATATAGAATTACATAGAGAAGGAATGACAGAGAGATCTTGCATCTGCTGGTTCATTCCCCAAGTGACTGCAACAGCTGGAGCTGAACTGAGCAGAAGCTGGGAGCGAAGAGCTGCCTCCCAGTCTCCCAAGCTGGTACAGGATCCCAAGGCTTTGAGGTTCCTCTACTGTTTTCCCAGGCCACAAGCATGGAATTGAATGGGAAGTGGAGCAGTCAGGAAGTAAGTTGGTGCTTTAAGATGAAGGATTAACAAATTGATCCATCTCACCAGCCCCTATTTTTTGTTTTTAAGTTTAAAAGTAGGGGCCCGGCAGCGTGGCCTAGCGGCTAAAGTCCTTGCCTTAAATGCACCGGGATCCCATATGGGTGCCGGTTCTAATCCTGGCAGCTCCACTTCCCGTCCAGCTCCCTGCTTGTGGCCTGGGAAAGCAGTCGAGGATGGCCCAAAGCTTTGGGACCCTGCACCTGTGTGGGAGACCCGGAAGAAGTTCCTGGATCCTGGCTTCGGATCAGCATAGCATCGGCCGTTGCACTCACTTGGGGAGTGAATCATCAGACGGAAGATCTTCCTCTCTGTCTCTCCTCCTCTCTGTATATCTGACTTTCCAATAAATAAATAAATCTTTAAAAAAAAAAGTTTATAAGTATTGCTGACTTTTCAAAGATTCTGTAGTTCTGGGCCTGGCACGATGGTGTAGTGGTTAAGGTCCTCGCCTTGCACACACCAGGATCCCATATGGCTGCCAGTTCTAATCCGGCAGCTCCACTTTCCATCCAGCTCCCTGCTTGTGGCACTGCAGGCAGAGGATTAGTCTGTTGAACCTTCTCAGGTGCCAATCTCTCTGTTGTTTTCTTTGCATTGTCTTTGTTGGTAGAAGTAGTATTCTTATGGCTGGTGCTTTGTTGTAGTAGGTTAAGGTTCCACTTGTGCCATCTTCCTATGTGCTGATTCAAGTCCCAGATGCTGTACTTCCAGTCCAGCTCCCTGCTTATGGCCTGGGATAGCAACAGAGATTGGGAAGCTCATGGCTCCTGAGATTGTACCTCCTAGGCTCTGCGCATTGCAACCATTTGGGAAGTGAACCAGCAAAGGAAAGATCTCTTTTTCTCTCTGTCTCTGTAAATAAAAAATTTTAAAATAGTATTCTTGTATATTTCTAGTTATCTTATAAACCGTTTTCTCAAAATGAAATCCAGTGGTACAGCTCCTTTGGAGAATTATCTATTGAGAAAGTTTCATAGAATAACAGAATCACCTTGCCAGGTATTTTCTGAAGGGCTTTCTAGGTCCTTGTTTTTTCATATAGAAAGAGTTTCCAGGCCTGGTGGGTGGCCTAATGGCTAAAGTCCTCACCTTGCATGTGCTAGGATATGATATGGGTGCTAATTCATGTCCCAGCTATTTCATTTCCCATCCACCTCCCTGCTTGTGGCCTGGGAAAGCAGTCAAAACCGTCCAAAACCTTGGGACCCTGCACCCACATGGGAGACTGAAAGAGGCTCCTGGCTCCTGGTTTTGGTTCAGCTCATCTCTGGCCATTGCAGCCACTTGAGGATTGAACCA